TAATTAAAGGTACTCAGAGACTGAGACAGGGATCCACGAGACAGAGGACAGCTGCTCTCGTCCGGCCTGGAGCATGCGAGCGGTAGACAGACAGAGAGCAGCGCCGCCAGAAGGCGCTGTGCAACACGGGCAGCATTAACATGGCGTCCTTGAAAGCGTAACGATGAGGCCATCTGCTAAAGCAGCGCTTGCTGTATGACTGGCAGCCGATTTCCGGGGTCCCAGCCAGTAACGGAAGCCATGGCGAAACACCAAAAAGGGCCGCATGACCAGCGTGCTCATGTCACAATCACCGTGAGACTGGCGGAAGAACAGCCATCGTGTATGAGGAAGTTACCAGAGAAAGACATTTATGTTCCAGGTCACAGCAGAGACACAGGGACTCCGATGCACAGTGGTCTCACCTCAGAGCGAACCATTCCTGTCCTGTTCATGTGGGTAAACATGCATGAGAACCACGACCTTGTCCGACCCACACGCCTAAGGCAACAGAGCCGGAGCAGAACAGGAGCCCCATGCCACGCAAGGCCATTCTGCCAGGAACATCCCAGCTCAGCCGGAACAAGTCCAGGCCTTGGAGGAGGCCTGAGAATCCACATCAGTGGTGGCCAATCTTCCAGAAAGGGCCAGTGTGTGTGCAGGTTTCCACTAAACTCCCTAATTAGATTACTACTTAGAGGACTGACTGGCTGAAGAGTCCTCACACCTGGGTCTGAACAGCTACCCTAAGGGTTATCCAAAAAACCTGCATGCACACCGGCCCTTTGTGGATAAGACTGCACCCCCCCCCCTACCCCCATCACTGTGTGTCCATCACTGCGAGATCTTCAGACATTACAGAAGAAACGTCAACATGTAAAAGGATTCACAAACACTCACCCGTGATAAAGATTACCAGACCTGCCTGTCCATCACCCTGTGGTCAGGACTGGAGAGGGGCGTGCATTTCACTGCGTTATACTTGTATCACTGTGTATGTGACTAATAATGAATCTTGAATCCTAACGACCTGCAGTGACAGAGTGCCTGTTTGTTGGGGTTACTCAGCTCGCCTAACACCGCCCCGGTAAATCGAGCAGCCAGATTCTTAACGGTCTTAAGCATCCAGGTCCGGCGCTGGCCGAAATGGCGGACAACCAAGCCATGTAAAGGTGGATGAGGTGCCTGGCACACCCAGCGAGCCGTCCATCAGGAGGAAAGCCCAGACAGCAGCGCGCCACGCCCTGTTAACCACACATGGGGGCGCTCTGCTGCCAGACACACGAAACACCCCGGAAACAGGGTTTCAACGCAAATCCAAAAAGGTGCGGCTGCCTAAGCCGGCCATGGTCTTACGCACCACCATTTATATTCGTAACCAGCTAATTAGGTCTTACAGCGCGTTAAGCAAGGTTAACACCTCCCCTCACACTAACCAGCTAGATAACTCAGACATGGTATTACGCAAGGTTACCACCACCCTCCATATCCAAACCATGCTAGTGAACTTAGACGGGGTGTCATGCATGGTTATAATCGCCAAGTCGTGTGGAGTACTTGCTAAATGGAGTCGTTTAAAATCAGAATAACTACTGCCGATTGACTGACCGGACCCACTATCGCCTACAACCACACATACACTCTAACCATGGGTCACATTACATTTAGGTTAGTTAAATAGGTTAATAGGTAGCGGATAACATCGTACCCCACGCCGTGTACGTGGCCGCATAGGCGTCTTACATTAGGGGTCATTTGTTTTAATTATCTGCCTAATTAAGACCGCTCAAACTTAAATATAAATGTCACTTCTCATAAAAATTACAGAATCTTAAATGAAATAGATTTTAAAAGACTGCTGTTAGGATAGCCTAGCTAACTGGCTGGGCCAGGGACGACGGCCGCTCGGCTATGCTAACGCGGCTAGGCTATGCTAAGCTAAGCTAGCGCGGCTAATCACTAATCCCCCCATTGTTAGCCGCCATTTTACTGCCGCCTTTATTCGCGGGCACCGCGTCCACGCGAGCGGGCCCGACTGTTTCCTGGGCGCTCTGGGGCGCCCGTATGACCGCGTCCTCACGCCGCTCACAGCCTCCCGACATGACGGAGGTCCGCACAGGCGCCCCGGACGGCCCCCACCGAAAGCGGCCGGCCGCCATTTTGTCTCTTCCTAACAAAGAGGGTCGGACTCGGCGGCGCGCCGCCATCTCCCCCGGGTGCGCCGCTGGAGGGCGGCCTGAGGCGGGATGCGAGCGGCCGGACCGAGAGGTACACGTTTCGGGCAGCCCAGCGGCTTATGGCTGAGCGCCGCTCTGCTTCGCGTCTTACCGTCGTATCGCTCAGCCTGCTCGGCAAGCTTGGCCTGGTACACGAGGTCGTCTCGGTCTCCCATGGCGTTCGGAGCCGGCCAGGCGGTGCTGTCTGCGGGCGAAGGGAAGGCGGCTCTGCGGCGAGCGGCTGTGTATCGGTCGGCAGTTCCCAAGCGGAGCGACGGCTCGGCGTCCCCCACAATACCGGCAGCACTGAACTAAAAATGGCGACGGGGCTCCATCCGGGAAACTAACCTAGAACTGAGGACGTACACACACCTCCTCCCTCCCCGATCCCTCTCTCTCTCACACACACACTCTCTCTCTCTCTCTCTCTC